GATGAATAGCTACAAAAACCAATTTAAAGCCTTGAGCGAAGAATTTAAACAGAATTCTTAAAAAAAAACTGATTGATGCGTTTTTGTCCTAAGACTTTCTGGAAAGAAAAAAAAGCTTTGAGCAGTTATAATTAAAGCTAAAAACTTCGAGCAAAATATTTAAGAAGACAGCTAAAAAAAAAATGATTTTCCGTTAATGGCTCTAATTAAATTTTTATGACTTGACTTCGCCCGTAAAAGGAATTCACAGTGAGTTCATATTCACGGTAAGGTGTGCTCGCAAAGTTTTGAATACAAAAAGCTCAGCACTTGCCGCTGAAGCTGGCTTTGAGTCTCGCTCACGCATCAAATTGTCCATGGGGCATGCATTTGAGCCTGATGGGATGGAGGTTGTTGCAGTTGTGTTATTTCAGTTGTTGCTGTTGTTGCTTTAATGTTTATGTTGCCACATCGTAGCCGGGCACGCATGAAGCCGCGACGTCGAGAACGACGACAGCGACGGCGACGGCGACTGCGACGGCGACTGCGATGTCGACTCTTCGACTTCGGCTGGTGAAAGGTGCAGCAGCTGCGGCTGCGGGCGGACGGTGTCAACCATTGTCAGTGGCATGTGGATGCGGTGGTGTGGGTGGGGCAACGGTAGCAGCAATAGCAGAAGCAGCAGCAGCAGCAGCAGCTGCTGTTGCTGTAGCTGAAGCTGCAGCTGTAGTTACTGGTGTGGCATAAATTTCGTTGTGGTTGCACGTGAAAATTGCATTTGGCTAGCATTTGGTTGCGTGTGTGTGTGGGCAGGGTATGTGTAACTGGTGTGTATGTGTGTGTGGTAAGTGTGTGGTGTGTGTGTGTGTGTGTGTGTGCGGTGCCTCTTTACGTGCTGTGCAAATTGTGGACTTAAATGTTTATGCGCTGGTTTGTGCCCAGAGTCACCGCCAATTGCCAACCCACTAGCATTCGCATTCGCATCCGCATCCGCATCCGCACCCCATTTGGTCGTTTGTTTATTAAGCTTTTTGGCCAAAATAGAAAAAGGTGTTGAATGCCACTCGCTGGCTGCTTTTTATTGCCCGAAACACTTTCACACACACACACACACACACACGGACACACGAACACACCCATACATATCTCTAAGTGCTGAAGCAGCTGTAAAATAAATATATATTTTTATTTCTTCTCTTTGGCCATTCTTTATTTTGTTGTGCTGCCAGGGCGAGCGTATAAATTAAACGCGTTACAGCTGGCAACCGCAGCGATTTCCCATTTTCCCCCCATTTTTTGTTCACTTTTTTTTTTTTTCTGGCTCGCATTAATTCGCGCTTGCACCCGCAAAGCACTTAATGCAGCCCTGCTCAGCAACCGTTCGCCCTGGTATGATGTCGCTTGAAGCGTATACAAAATTTAAATAAGAAACAAATCGAAGTAACGGCACACACACACACACACACACCACCCCACCTCGACGAAACCCACCTCCGCCCCCAAGCACGCAGATGGCAAATACCAAGTGTTCAATGTACTAAAAGGCAATCGAAGAGAAGAGACAGCGGATGAGAACTAAAACAGAAGGCAAAAAATATCAAAATTGAAGGTTGTAGAAGTCGAAGCCATCGGCATAATGAAACAAGTTAGAGCGCTCTTGCTGGGATTGCCCGACCATAAGATACCCTGCAGACGCAATGCAGATCTGCTGTTACAGAAATTGCAGCTAGAGACGAAATAGGTAAACCTAGTTACCAGATTTCAAGGATTTCGGCTGATGCTGACCAAGAGTGTATGGATACGTTTAAGCAGCCGGAATTGATTGATTCTGCCAGTTACGCACCCATGTAAAAAAACAAATATACTCTCATTGTTCAATGTGTTCAGGGTATAAAAAGAGAGGAGCCTAAAATGCAACAAAATAAAATTCATTGATGCGTTGTGCACACCATTCAAAGGCGAGGCCTAAATTTGAGGGTTTCTTAAATTTAAGGGGGTCTGATTAGAAAATGATTCATAAGGATACATTAAATAAATATATTTTCGGTTTTCTCATTTAATTGTTCATATACAAAATCAATTAATGAGCCTTTGTTAGACACGTCGATTATTACAATTCCCTTTAGGGATGTTTGCTGATAAGCTTCCCTCTAAAAGGCTAAAAGGCAAATAAAAGTAAATATCTTAATATTGAAATTGTGTACTGTACTGTGTGATACTTTACTCTTTTCAAAATAGCGGATTTTTTTTTTGTTTTTATTTGACAAAGGCAAAATTTTGGATTATTCATTTGGCAAATTTACGGCCAGGTCTATTTCAAACACAAGCGAGTATCGATAAATTGCATCTAAAGCCGTGCACAAAGCTGCCGCTGTCAGCCGCAGCTGTGGTAATGATATGCTCAAGTATCCAATTCCCATTGCTGGCCGCACCACCGCACCCCCGCACCCCCGCACCCCCGCACCGACGAAACCAGCCAATAGCCGTTCAATAGAGCATAAAGAGTAACAAAGAGCTTAGGGCCAACACTTAAATACAACGAAACGTTCTTAATCACACGATAGATACGTAGATACATAGCTACGGCGGGCACTTGAAATGGGTGGACCATGAACCCAAAAACTGCCAAATGCTTCGCCCAAGCGATTTCAAGTTACTTTCGACATTTCAGTCAGCTGTCAGCGTTGCTCCTGCTCCGGCTCTGGCTCCTGATCCCCTGTTTCTGCTCCTACTCTGGATATAAACGCTTACAATCTGCAAAATAAAGTGCACCAGAAATAGCTAGGAGCAGCCGCTTCGGCGTAAAAAATAATCAAACACAAGCTTCTGAGCGCTTTGCGGCCTGCGCGCCCCCACCACCCCTCCTACTCCTTAGTCGGCTTCCCCATTCTCGCACACGGCGCTTGGGCTAGTTGATTCGACTATTCGGCGCTCCACTTCCGTTTTTTGCACTTTGCATACAAAGTATCGTTAACTACTAGCATCAGTTCTGCCTCACACAACAATCAGCCGAAGGCAGCTGGCGTGCGCGCGGGGGAGGGGGCGGGGGCGGGGGCAGAGGCAGGGTAAGGGGCGTGATGGGCACAACTCCACTGACATTGCGGTTTTTCACAGATTTCCTTCGTTCCGCATTTCGGCTGCTCTTAAATGGTTTCCTTATGGAAATTTCATTGAAATGTAACGCCACGAAAGTAGTGGCAGCGGCCAGAGGTAAGGCTCTGGCGGAGGGAGGGGTAAGAAATTCATCGGGCCCTGAAAGCTATCATGCACAGATTTGAGCTCAACAGTTTCCTCGATTGGCCCCAAACACTTGCGCCCCGTCATAACTTTGGCGCATCGTTAACATTAAGTAGTCAGTCGTAAAGGTTGCCAGCCTTTAGCCCAAATTAAGAGCATTGAAATCGACGCACCTGAGCCTGAACAATAGGTTTTTATTAAAAGCCAATAGTTGGCAAATTTATCCACCTACATTAACCATTTAAAAGGCAAACCGGGTTCAATTGAAGCATTTTTTCAAAGTTTCATGAGAATGAGAATAATGTGCTAGCGAGAGGTTGTTCTCGATTGACATTGTCGTGTTAATATTGATTATAAATATCTTTGACTTTTACAAGGTTCACTTTACGACATATTAAGGATGCACGCTGGGTGTAATTATACTCCCCGATTAGGCCCTGGTAGTATGGGATATTTTCGGTTTATATAAAACTTAAATAATTAAAAGAATTATTGACTCGAGTTTTAGTGACTTTGAATATAAAAACAATATAAACTCAATATAATACCACTTACATTCAAACGGATCTGTCACTTTGCCTGATAAGCAAACTAAACTAGTTTCACTTTAAACTAATAGGAACATGTAAGAGGTTCTAGTCGGGAGCTCCCGAATAGGGGAAACTCTGAACCCTCTTCTTCCAACAGGCGATAGGTATAAAATGAATGATACTTGATATATATATATACTATTCTAGAAGCTACATGTCAAGTTTGGTGATTAAAGCTCATATTATTTTCCGAAATTGCTCAAAAAACAGGATTTCTATATCGATCTTTATCGATCAATTGGAAACGGGGCAAGTTATCGAATATCGGAAACTAACTCGATCTGCGCGGCACTAGGAGGACCTTCAGCTAAAATTTCAAGTCGCTAGCTCTTACAGGTTCTGAGATCCTTGCGTTCATACATACGGACAGACAGACGGACGGACGGACAGACGGACGGACGGACAGACGGACGGACAGACAGACAGACGGACAGACAGACGGACGGGCATGGCTAGATCGACTCGGCTGTTGTTGCTGATCAAGAATATATATACTTTATAGGGCCGGAGATGCTTCCTTCTGTTTGTTACATACATTTGCACAAATACATAATACCCTTTTTACCCATTTTCAATGGGTTCAGGGTATAAAAAGAACAGGAATTATACCCGACACTTGTTATTTAAATGTTGCAACAGATTTCTTCACAGCACACTTTAATGACATTTATTTATAGGTGGGAATAATCCAATCGTTACACTTTTTAATTAATTTGATTAACCCTAAATTTCATTTTCACACGTATATTTTGAATAATTTTAGTCGCGAGGCAAATCATATCCGTATACTTTGCCGCTCCAATCAATCTCCAGCTTATCGATCCTGTGTATTATTTCTCTCACTTGTCGCTTTCGGACTTTCCATTCTCGGTTATTACAGTTTCAACAGCATGGAGGAACATATTATCAATAATCACAAGAGTCATCATGGCAATCATTAATAGCTTTGTGTTATTTAAGGCCATTGTTAAATTTGTGCTTGTGATTTTAAATTTCTTTTATTTAAGAATTAGGGACTTTTGTAGATTTTTAATGTCATGGGTGACTTGATAGAACCCAAAAAGGTTAAGGATTGAAAGATCAAAACTGATTAGACGTAATATCTCACCGATTCTTGAATTTAACCACTGATAACTTATAGTTAAAATAGTTAAATTTAACACATGCATAGGAATAAAAAGAAAACGAAGAATAAGTCTTTCCAGTTGAGTATCAGAACATCCAACTTTCCTCACAAACTGATACCCATCCAGGATCTAAGCCTCTTATCTTCCAACTCGGACCCTCGTCTTAATGTTTTTCCCAGCGTACGGCAATTGTAAAGATTGAGAAATCGACCAACCTGAATGTTAAAAAATTAAATAATATCAAGGAAAATAATATTTGTAAGCTATAACCTCGAGGAAAGTACATAATATTTGGCTATATCTATATCTATACCTTATATGTAGTCGACAAAGATATCAGGTAGACAAAAGTTACTATCGATGCTGTTCTCCAGCTTTTATCCCTACATCGTTTATGCCTTTAATCGGTATAGGCTGGATTTTTTCCTGTGGCCTGCCACATTTTTATGTACTTTCTTTTCGGTTGAATCTTGTGGTTGCGCCGCCCAGAGGTCATAATTTCTTGTTAAGCCCACAACGCAAATGGCACTTTTACCTAAATGGACCATAAGGCGTTAAAATGTTGTTATCGCCCCAAGGCCCCCATCCACAACTCCCTCTCTGCCCGTACGCACACACACACACACACATACACACCCTCGAGTCTGAGGCCTTACCTTGACTTGGCTGGCGCAATAAAAAGCCGAAATACATTTCGATTATGCGACGCGAGTTTTTTCTTTTCTTTTCTTCTCTTTTTTATTTTTATTTTATTTTTATTTTTTAAATTTCATTTGTACAGTTGGCTTTACAGGTCCTTAACAACAATTGAATGCTCTGTTGGCTTAAGTTAATCGAATTTATGAATTTACCGACGCAATGCAATACAAATTTCTCGCTACAAAAAAGAAAAGCGAATTTGCCTCTTTGTACACAGGTATCCGATATTTTTGCCTAAATGGGAGTTTGTGACTTTTCTATCATATTTTATAACGAGTTGCTTAGTATATACAACCGAATTTTAAATTATTATAAATTAAAGATGTGTAGCATATGCAAATTGTAAGTAATTTTGGCTCCCCCCATTTGAATAATAACGCTAATGAATGCCATTTACATTTCCAGCTGTATAAAATTAGGCTGCAAACTGCTTTGTGTGTTGTTTTGTTCGATTTTCGGGGTACTTTTAATTCTGGCACTGGTTATCTATTTTGTATGCTTCCATAACAAGGGCGATAGCTCCAAGTCCGATGCCAAGGCGCTGAGTGACTTTTCTTTCTAAAATTGCGACCTGAACATTATAAAGGTTTCTGATTTTTTTCCATATTTTTTTAATACAAATTTTTATGTCACAGGAAATAATGTATATATGAAAAAGGTTTCGGATTAATGTGGAAGTCTTCTGAATAAATAATAGATTTTGTCTGGTATTGGAATAGTTTCATAAAGTGTGTAACGGGTGGAGGGAGGAAGATTGGAGATCGTTCCCAAGAGAGATATGTAACATATTCTCTAACATTTAGAATAAATATGTCTTAGTATTGGGGTAAGATGAGGGCAATTCTGAAAAATGAATCCTCTTCAATTTATCCAGAACTCATAGTTGACAGAAGCAAAGTATCGATTGTGGGCAATAGGTTTCGGGCAAAAGCCACATGTGATCGCTAGCTAAGATAAATATTTGGATTCATCAGTCTGTCTACTTAGGAGCCCATTATTAAATAAAATAAGAGGAATTTTTGTATAGCTATTGTATATTGTATCTTAATTAAAGGTAGATATAGTAAGATTCATAATGCTGGCGGTAATTCATGTCATTATCTAAAGTTTAATTTAAATGTGTAATAATTTGTTATTAGTGGAAAATCAGCTTTGTTGGCCATAGTATATTTATAGTTCCAGCAGGGCTCCAATCCTTCATATTGGCAATCGTCTCTTATGCCAGAGATTCAGCTCAACTTAACCTACAAGTCGATGAACACGGCTGTGCCATATTAATTATGTGTTGTTGCTGCTGCTGCTGCTGTTGGTCCTACTATATATACTATTCTAGAAGCTTAATGTCAAGTTTGGTGATTAAAGCTCATATTATTTTCCGAAATTGTCAAAAAAACAGGATTTCCATATCGATTTTTATCGATTACTTGGAAACGGGGCAAGTAATCGAATATCGGAAACAAACTCGATCTGCGCGGCACTAGGAGGACCTTCAGCTTCCTGCAGCTAAAATTTCAAGTCTCTAGCTCTTATAGGTTCTGAGATCCTTGCGTTCATACATACGGACAGACGGACGGCCTTACCTTGACTTGGCTGGCGCAATAAAAAGCCGAAATACATTTCGATTATGCGACGCGAGTTTTTTCTTTTCTTTTTTTTTTATTTTTATTTTATTTTTATTTTTTAAATTTCATTTGTACAGTTGGCTTTACAGGTCCTTAACAACAATTGATTGCTCTGTTGGCTTAAGTTAATCGAATTTATGAATTTACCGACGCAATGCAATACAAATTTCTCGCTACAAAAAATTAAAGAAAAGCGAATTTGCCTCTTCTACACAATATACACGATATTTTTGCCTAAATGGGAGTTTGTGACTTTTCTATCATATTTTATAACGAGTTGCTTAGTATATACAACCGAATTTTAAATTATTGTAAATTAAAGATGTGTAGCTTATGCAAATGGTAAGTCAGTTCAGCTCTCCCCATTTGAATAATAACGCTAATGAATGCCATTTACATTTCCAGCTGTATAAAATTGGGTTGCCAACTGCTTTGTGTGTTGTTTTGTTCGATTTTCGGGGTACTTTTAATTCTGGCACTGGTTATCTATTTTGTATGCTTCCATAACAAGGGCGATAGTTCCAAGTCCGATGTCAAGGTGCTGAGTGACTTTTCTCTCTAAAATTGCGACCTCAACATTATAAAGGTTTCTGCATTTTTTTCTATATTTTGCTAAAACAAATTTGAATGCCACAGGTAATAATCTATAAATGAAAAAGGTTCCGGATTCATGTGGAAGTCTTCTGAATAAATAATAGATTTTGTCTAGTATTGGAATTGTTTCATAAAGTGTGTAACGGGTGGAGGGAGGAAGATTGGAGATCGTTCCCAAGAGAGATATGTACAGAGAACTATTCTCTTCTCTAACATTTAGAATAAATATGTCTTAGTATTGGGGTAAGATGAGGGCAATTCTGAAAAATGAATCCTCTTCAATTTATCCAGAACTCATAGTTGACAAAAGCAAAGTATCGATTGTGGGCAATAGGTTTCGGGCAAAAGCCACATGTGATCGCTAGCTCAGATAAATATTCGGATTCATCAGTCTGTATGCTTAGGAGCCCATTATTAAATAAAATAAGAGGAATTTTTGTATAGCTATTGTATATTGTATCTTAATTAAAGGTAGATATAGTAAGATTCATAATGTTTAATTTAAATGTATAATAATTTGTTATTAGTGGAAAATCAGCTTTGTTGGCCATAGTATATATATAGTTCCAGCAGGGCTCCAATCGTACATGTTGGCAATCCTCTCTTATGCCAGAGATTCAGCTCAACTTAACCTACAAGTCGATGGACACGGCTGTGCCATATTAATTATGTGTTGCTGCTGCTGCTGTTGGTCCTACTTCTGTTTCTGCAGCTGGCAACTAGGCGTATGTGCAATTTATTTGCATATGATGACCGGCATTGCGTAAAAATTAATGAAAGGCAATTAAAAGCATTCGGAAATGTAATAAAATGGGTAATGCGCACAGCCAAAGCCGACGACAATTAAATGTGGAAGCTGTTGTTTGCTTAATGCAAATATAATATTACACGCAACAAAGCTGTCAACTATAAATAAACAATTTTAAATTTATATGGTAAATAAGTATACTTTAACATGCATACGAACAATGGCCACTCGTACAATTCAATGCAATTTGTTATAAATGTTTGGCAACATGTTTATGCCTATGAAAATTGAATTCAATTGTTCGACTTGTTTTTAGTGTTGAGAGCCAAATTGAATTTGTTATTTCGGGCATTTTAGTTCATGTTGTAGTTGTTGTCTGTAATCAATTGGCATGACAAATGCAGTTTGTCGTTGCAAAATTCCTTTGCTCATACCCTGTAGCTATACGCTTTGAAGTGAATATCAGCTCGGTAGAAGCTTGCATTTGTGTATTGATATAAATAATGTAATATAATAATAACAAACAGGCTTGTCTTAAATCCTATTTTCTGCAACCTCGACTTGCCAACAAATGGGAAACATGATTTATACAAGAGGTCTTTGTCGTGTTTGGTACTTTTCCTATTATAGCTATTATGTGAAGGATCATAGAGACATAGATAACAATTCCTAAGAAAACGAGGAACTTTCTTTCAGATAAAGAGTATTTTGTTGTTGACCAACACTGGGCTAGCCTTCATTGGGCATACATTATTAGCTTATAATAAAACGTGTTAATGTTATTATCAAAGGTTGACTCAAATCGTGGTCTGTCACATATTTTTTTGGATTCATTATTTTAATTTATTTTATGTCTGTACAAACTTTCATACGTAAAATTGTATATAAAAATGTTAGGTAAAATATATGCTACACCATAGACAGTAAATTTATTTTTTAAATGAAAAAAAAAATAGATTCTAGTAAGCAAACAAGAGGATAATAAAATGTTTTTATTATCCATGGTAACTCATAGTTCAGCTTCTTCACAGAAAGGAAAATCTTAGTTTTTGTTGTTGCCGCTGCAGCTGTTTGTCAAGTTTTTCGGTCATGCCACAAATCGGTAACAAACACTGTGCAGCGTTTGGAAACTGGCGCATTATTGCGATTTTACACGCTGCTGCACTTGAAAATGAAACGGACAATAAGCTCCACTTGGCTACAATAAGTTAGTCAGTTTGCAGCTTTTTAGGGCTGCGTTGGGGGCTGAGTTGTGTGTACTTTGGGGCGTGGCAGCCGCATCGTTGTCGTGGCCATCATTGCCACTGTCCGCCGCTAAAAGCTTTTTGATTATGAAAAATGTTCGAAACATATGCTCCAAATGACTGTGGAGCGTGCAAAGAACATGAAGAAGCACAACATTGCAGAGAAGAAGCATCAGCAGCAGCAGTAGCCACAGCAGCAGCAGCAGCAGTAGCAGAAGCAGAAGCTGTAGCAGAAGCAGAAGCTTGTACTCAGTACCTTTCTGCTGGTAGTGTGCTTTTTGCACTGCACTACAAAACTGTGTGTATACGATCCCATTCGAAGTACTTAAATCTGTATATGTAGAACACGTTCGCAACCATTGTGTAAGTGAACATATTTTTTGCCCGGCTTTAGTTTACTCGCCTTTCAGAAGTTATTGTTGTTGCTGCGTTTCCCTGTTTATTGTGGTTTCTATACCCTGGGCCCATTGAAAACGGGTAATAAAGGGTATACAACTACTGAGCAAATGTATGTTGCAGTCTAAAGGAATGGATTTCGACCCCACAAAAAGTGTAAACATATTCTTGATGATGATGCCGAGCTGTGGCATATAATTTTGGTATCAACAGAAGATGAATATATATCGATTTCAAAAGAAAGCTTTCTAAGCATTAGCTAAATATCCAATCTGAAAAATAAATATATTTTGATCGGAAACAGCTTTCGCATGTTTAAAGAAAGGGACTTGTTATGTCTGGTTAGAGGGTATCTCCTAGTCGAGCACTAGCAACTAGAGCACTCTAACTTGTCTTGCGTTTTACGTGTGAGTGTGTGCATTTGTTTTGTTGCTCGTGCATTGTTAATGGTTGCGCTATTTTATTTTGAAATTAATAAAGTGGCAAAAAGCGTACAACAAAAACAAACTATTTACTTCAAGAGTTTGGAAAGTCCGAGTGGCGGTTGCAAAGTTTAATTTGTTTTATTGTACTCTTCGCAAAATGGCAAACAAATTGTGAATAAAGTTTGTCCAGATCTTGTTTTAATGAAGCAGCAGCTGTAAAGCTCGCCAATAATATAATTTCACTTTAAGTACACAAAGTTATACAAAATTGTTGAGCTTTTGGTTAAATGGTTAAGATAATGTAGTTTTAAACCATTCTTGTGCTTTCAGAGCTTAAAATCTGAGTCGATAGATAATATGAGAAATATAGCATAAAGTATGTTTATATATGTTTAAAATATAATACTTATATCTATTTTTTCGAGCTGTGTGCTATAAAGCTGAAATGTTTAAAGAGTTTTTCATATTATTTCGGAAAGGCTTAAGGAACTTATGAACTTTTAAATTTCGAAATGGTCGTGATTCATTTGTATCAAAAGTGTTCAACATGTTTGTATGTTTATGACTTTTAGTCGTATTGGGATTCATTATATCAACTATGCAATTGACAATATTATGTTATAACGCATTATCACAGTTCAGGACAAAACCCTCATATCTCTGCTAATGAGTTTACTAATTCACACTTGTACACTTGTGTGTCCTATCCTAAAATAAAGCTCATGCGCCTGGTTGTCGCCATATATATATATATATATTTACGAAGCAAGTTCTGTCTTAGTTTTAAGTATATCAAACTGGAATCTTTCTCTTTGACTTCTTTGGTACTCAAGAAGAAACTTACTAATCTTTCATCGTTAACGAATCGGAGGACAGTTTTCAGTGTTGTCCTCCTATAGGATGTTGGCGACAGGCTTCTTTTCGCTCAACCCTTTTCGTAACGTATTACATCTATTTAAAAAGTATATTTACAAGTTATAATTGTTTTTTCCCATCTCTGTTATTATTGCATTTAATTGAATAATGAATAATAAAAAGTGGCAATCCTCGCCAACTATAATATAGAGGTAGGAAATTAATAAAATAAATTATTCCTACAAACTAAAGGGAAATATTTTGAAAGCGCTTGGCTTTAATATCTGTCGACAATCTCAGCTTTAGGTTAAACGTGCCTTTAAATGCTCCCAATTTGGTAACGCCAAGTGTCTGCAGGCAGCCGAGAACTTTGGAACAACTTCAAAATAAGATCAGACGTACTTAAAATGCTTCACAAGAGACACACAAAATAACAATTAAACATCAGCGAAACTGACAAACTTTGTTGAAGAGCAAACAAACCCAAAATACATAACAACTGGCAGCTGGCAGCTGGAGGCACGAGTATAATCCTATATGGATAGAGGTATGTATATGCATATGCAGTTGGTATGTATGTACTTGCCTCTATGGCCGCAAAAGACGCGACGTTTGAAAAGTTCGCGCCTTGGCACGGGTAAAGGTTACGGGCTAGAAAACTTTGTCAGCGAACGTGACATGAAAATCGCAGCGCTGATGAAAAATGCTAAATCGTGACTGGAATATGTGATGTAACAAAACAGGGCCCAACCACGCCCCCACCCAAAAAAAAAGAAGTAATAATAAGAAGAAGAAGAAGAAAGTTACAGCTTTAGCGACACATGGCCCGAGCCTATGGCTTGCCAATTGAATTTCCTCAAATAAATTTTGAGACATTCGAATCGCAAACTCGCGTCCATGTAACACGAGAGCGCAATGCGCTGCCGCTGTTGGCCAGCCCAAATATAGGAACTCCATTTCGAGTGTTGGACAAGTTGGACTATATTTAGGCCAAGACTTGGCTATATGGCTGGCGGCGGCTAATGGCTCCATTTGCTCTGTTGACTCAGTCCAATGCCCAACGCCCCGCCCCGGTTACTTGATGCCAATGCAATGTGCTCGGGAGTGTGTGCACTTGACTTCGCCTGCTGTGATTTTATCGTTTAAAAATATCATAAAAATTATCTGCCCGTTTCTCTGCTCTCTCTCTCTCCCTCTCTCTCTCTCTCTGTCAGATGCGCTCTCATAGTTTATAGACTGTATCTCTTTCTAGTTGTATTTGCATCTCGGTTTCAACGCGTTGGTTTCTATAAATACAAAGTCGCCAGTTCGCTCGCTGCATTTTTCCGGCAGCATTTGGGTGTGTGTGTGTGCGTGTGCGTGTGTGTGCGCTTGTTTTCTTATAGCTACAGTTACGTGGCGATCGCTCCCTGCCCGCTCCTCTTCTAGCCTCCTCTATTTTAGCTGTAA